CGGGGCCCCCGGGCCGGTTTCTCTGTGCTTTGTCCAGAGCAAGAAGCACGCCAACAAGGTGAGGCGGTACCTGTCCATCCACGGCGGAGAGGAGCTCGCCCACGGGAAGAAGATGAGGCTGGAGGCGAAGCAGGTGAGCGGAGAGCGTAAGGCCCCCCCTTTGGGCCCAGGACCCGCTGGGCTAAAGGCTCTTGTGTGGCCTGGGCGCCTTTGTGAGCGAACGAAGGAAACGCTCTCGGAAAGGGCGTTGTGGGAGCTGAGGAGGTTGGTGGCAGGTGTGTCGCCAGGCCTTGTCTCAGCGAGGACAGTTCCTGCTGCCCTTCCCATTCAAACAGCCTCCGTGAGTCTGTCTCCTCCGTGTAAACAAACACACGTTGCCTTTTATTGATAGCCGTACTTGAAAGGACAGGGGAAAGTGAATAGGAGTGACAACTTGTCAGGAATGTCATTGCGTAACCTTTGCTGTCACCAGGTGACCGGCTGCTGGAATTCTCTTTCCAGAGTGATCCTTTTTTTTTTCACTTACTTAGGTTTCTGTGGCCAGTAGCTGGAGCCTGTTGGTCAGTAAAGGCACCACATTCCTTTCGGCCATCTGTCTGCCCCATGACTCATTTGGGAAACAGATTCTACTTTTATGATTGCTTCAGCCTTAATCCCTCACTCTCCAACATTTGCAGCGGGGGGGGTTGGGGGGGATGAAGGCAGATGCCTCTGCACATAGTGCTAGGCTGCCTAACGACTGCTGCTGCCTGCTCCGCTGGCATCACGTTGCAGATGGCCCAGCTGATAGCGATGTTTGTGTTGCTCAGTTCACACCTTGCAGAGTAAAGGGCTGCCTGTTCCAGTTCTGGCAGCCACACGCTTAACCTTGTCCTTAACCCGTACAGGGCAGGGCTGCCCCTGTGCCCGGAGTGGTTCACTATCTGGTTAGAAAAGGTAATCTGGTGCAAGAACGCTCTCTGGTGAGGGAGAGGATGCTGCTGCGTCATGAAAGTCCTGCTCAAGTCATACTTATTCAACTTGACAGCCAAATGTCTCTGATTATCTTGTCTTCTTAGACCCCCAAACCGTAGTGTTTCTTCTCGTAACAAGAAGGTTGGAAGAGGTGACCCACAGAGGTCCCTCCCAGCCTCAGCCACTCTGCACTTCTGTGTGCACAGGACAGCAAGCAGGAAGGCAGCAATGGGGAAGACAGGAACAAGTGTTGTCCCATCTGCAACATGACCTTTTCCTCTCCGGCTGTGGCAACATCTCACTACCTGGGCAAGACTCATGCTAAGAACATGAAGCAGCAGCAGTCCCCCAAGGTGGAAGGTATGACTGTCTGCAGCGCCTTCGCATTGTACCGAGGGGCTGTTCAAGCAATAAAAAGGCTGAGAGGTACGTTGGACCCCAAGTGTGAGGGGGTGAGGATGTGCGTGCTCTTCACTGTGAAACAGTGAGCCCGCAGTGCACCTCTGGAGATGTGGCGTCCCTCAGCAGCCTGTTTGGTGGGCTGGGGTCGGCTAAAAGTTGCGTGGGTTTTTGTTTCGCTTTGCTCGGGAGAAGAACAGCTTGCAGCAGCGTTGTGCCCGTCCCTGCGTGCAGGGACCGGGAGAGAGCTGCTCTTCAGGGACCGTGATGTTGAGCTGTAGAAATGCCTGTCGCAGGACATGATGCTTGCTGAAAGCTTAAAGGAGCTGAAGAGACTGGTGGAACTCCGATATGGCAAATTCGTCAGGACAGCTCGACTCCAAAGATGGAGCCTCTGAGGTTCAGGGACTTGTGAGCTGCAGATAGCTGGGGACTGGGAGGGTATAGCTGGGAAACATCAGTATGGGCTTGTCCCAACCTTGCGCTTTTCGATGGCACCTGCTGCGACTGCTCATGGTGGGATCTGGTCCGGGCAGGCCTCGGGTCTGACCCGGTGCAGCTGCCTGTGTCCAATCCCTCTGCTAGGCCCAGTGGGTGGGGAGGGAGACCCTCTGCCCAGCACGGGTAGGGGCAGCCGAGAGTCTGGGGTGCTGTAGCTGGTTGGGAGGGAGGGAGAACGCAGGCTTTGAGCACACCTGAAGATAGCAGCTGGTGCTGCCTCCGAGCTGGGATCTTCCAGGCAGGAACTGCTCATCCCGGGGCGTCTGCATGGCTTGGCTGGGTTGTGTGTGCACCGTGGGGTCAGGGTGGTCCGTGGGATGATTTTATGATTTGAAACCCTTGCTTTTGGGTACGAGAGGCACCTTCAGGAAGAGGTGATGTACGCACGGGTGGTCTGGTGCTTACCTTCTGGTTTGGCATGAGAGGAGCTCTCCGGTCCTTAGAAGGTTCCTTGCTCTGGGCTTTGGTACCCCGTAATGAGAGGCTGGAGGCTTCTCCATCAGACAGGAGAGACACTTCTCTGGGTGCACTGTGTCAGGCCTAGCCCCGTTCATGCTATTTCTTAGGCAAGGCTCCTCCTGACTTTGGTTCAGCATCAAGTCCTGCAGCCGCACAGCCTTTCCAGAAACCCACTTGCCTTTGCTGCACAGGGGCTTGTACCCGTGTTCTAGCTGGTGATGATAATAGTAGGTGGAAGCTCATTCATGTCCAGCATTTCTTGAGTACAGCCATGCTTATGTTAAGAAGAAATGTGCAAATCTGTTGGAGGTTTTTTAAGTCTGAAAGTTTTTCTGGCCTACTCTGACTTGTCTTACCTGCCTTTCAATTCTGCAGTGTTAAGGGAAGAGGTAGGAGCAACAAGAGTTTATCTAGATGTCTTTATTCTCTGTCTAGGTTTGAGGTTTAGGTGAAGTGCGTTATTTTTTTTAATGCGGGTTTGGGGGAAATAAAGGGGCTGTTTATTACCTCCGAGTTTTGTGACTGACCCAGAGTTTGGATTCACCCTACAGAAGCAGTGCCCCCCCAGAAACCTCCTGCTGCCCTCCCCACCTCTACTGTGTCTTCGAACGAAGAGAACAAGGACATTACCGACCCAGACAAGTTCTGTAGCCTCTGCCATGCCACTTTCAACAACCCCCTTATGGCAAAACAGCATTATGTAGGCAAGAAGCACAGAAAGCAAGAAACCAAACACAAGCTGATGGCACACTATGGCCGAACCCCTGATGCCCCGGCATCGTCCTTCATGGGTGAGTTCTCGGCAGGCAGGCTAATAAAGAGCTGAAGAGTAGGGTGGGAGAGCGACAGTAGGTGTCTGACAGGTCTTTGGGCGGATGAGTCCGTGTGGAGGGAGCAGGGGAGAATTGCTTGTGATGAGGATCTTGATTGTACACCGTAGGACTGATTTGGTTGACATTGTAGCCCCCTGGCAGCAAGGGAGGTTTTAGACTGTAGCTACTCGTGAGAAGCTTTGGGTTGTGTTTTGCAATGTTGTCTAATCGGGGATGTGTCCTTTTTTATTCTCCGTGCAGATAATCCAGGGGTTTTGGCCAGTACTGTTTCTCGCTAGGTGATTGCATCCAAAATAGGAAGATAAAAGTGGCATTTGATGCTTAAAAAACGTCTTTGGAGGGCACTAGCCAAAGATGGAAGAAATAGGTTTAACTGCACCTGCTGCTTCAAAGCACATGAAAGCCAGAGAGATTCCTCCCTGAATGCCTCTCTGGCTCTGTGTGGGCACTTCCATCCAGTGAACTAATGAAACTCTCTCTGGAGCAAGCAGGAATATGGGGTGTGGGGGGGAAGAGCTATTAAGGAGGAACTTTAGGCAGACAGTTGGAACTCATTTGGTTTATGATCTGCTGCTTATGAGCACTTCTACGTGATGAAAGCCCTTGGAGTCCAGTGAAAGCATTAGGAGCTCACGGTAGCCTCCTTTGTTCCTCCCAGCAGCCTTCTGTTGGACCAGGAAGTCTAGTACTTGCTGGGTGAGGTAAATAATAAGCAGCCAAATCATCGTAAAATCTTCTTCAAGGGCTTCTTTCTCTGTCATAAGAACCCACGCAAGCAGCAGATTAATTATTCTAATTCTTTGCAGGCCACCTTTAGATACCGGTAGCACTTAGGAGAAATGAGGCTCAATTATCCAAGTAATATTCTCTCCCACATTGCGTAGTCGTGTGGGAGATGGAAAAGGTGCTTGATATCCAGCATTACCCATCTGCTCCTTACCTAATTAGTGGGGTCTGATGAATGGTTTGACTTCAGTGTGACTCAGACGCTGACAGTGGCAGGAGCCCCAGCCCAGGCAGGCTGGGTAGGTGGGCAGTGCCCTTGCCTGTGTGAGTGATGTCTCCCGTGAAGTGCTGGCAGCACCGGAGTGCGGACGGACACGTCTCCATGGCACTGGAGCTGTTCAGGCAAGGTTTCAGAGCCTGGACTGGCTGGGGTGTGATGGGCTGCACTCAGGGATGTTTCCTCCTGCTCTCTTTGCCCGTCCCTGTGTGCTAACAGCCATGCCTGTCCCTAAACGTCTCTCTGCTGGGATCTGGCTGGCGGCAGGTAAAGATGTGTTCTTTGCAGTGTGACACCCAGGTGTTTGTCTGCTTAATTCCTCTAGGAACCTCTGGTGTGGGGTGCAGGAGTGCAGTGTAGACGGCTTTGTGCACACACCTGTCTGCCAGGTTTGCAACAGAGAGATCTTGACCTGTGTCGTGCAGGGAGGCAGAGCTGAGGGCTCTAAGGGCTCCTCTGGCCTTTCCCGCCCAGGTCCAGCTCTGTTTTGGGAGTAAAATGTCCCACTGGAGTCTGAAACCTCTCTGCAGTGCAGCAGCCGGGTGGGGAAGTATCTGCTACATCGCGTGTTGTGCTTCTCACTCGGTGATTCTGCTGCTCTGCACCCCTGGGGTGAGTTTCCTCTTTCACCTTAAGGAGATGTTTTCTTTGTGAAACTCCCAGGCAGAGCCCTTCCCCAGCGAGCCAAAATTCAGGAGCATTTAATGTCTTGAGGACAACTGCCAGGATTTTGCCCAGTTAGAGACTCCTGTGCTGAGCTGTGCTGCCGTGCTTGCCTGTTTGGTATCTGTGACCTCCTGAACTTCCATTCCAGCTGGAGTTGTCATGTTACACAAACCCATTGATCTGTCTAGTACAACTATTGTTGGTAACTTTTTTTTTGGCAGTTAACTGATCCACTGACTGTAACCAAACTGCTTCAGGATAGAGCTTAATATTCTCAGTTGGCACCTCAGCAAGGCTTAGCAGAATGCTGCATTGTGGAACTGGACATTGTGTGTGATCTCCTCTGGCTGCTTTTTTTATTGAAACACTACGAGCTTACAAATTAAGTATCTCCCTCGTTTTCTGTTATGAGATGTACAGATCCAGGAGAAGTGGGAATCTGGGAGAGAGATGGAATTGCAAAGGCAGTATATCATCAGGTTTGATGTCCTAATGCTGAGATTTTTACTATGTCTGATACTGTGAACTGTTTATGGGAAACGTGTCTTTGTTTTTATAGATAAACAAACCCATGTTCTGACCAGGAAAGCGTTTCTGGCTTAGTGATTCCCGCTCAGTGACTGGCTGATACATGGTGGGGCAGTGGGACTCTGCAACCTCCCTGCCTGGTCAGGCTATGGACTTGCTATTTGTCTTTGTTTAGCGGTTGTTTTAACACATCAAACGATTGATTATCTCACTTGTTTCTACCTCAGGCACCAAGTTGTTGGCTAGCTGTGTGTGCTAACATTGATGTCTGTTTCAGCTGGGAAGGGGTACCCCTGCAGCACATGTAACATAGTACTGAACTCCATAGAGCAGTACCAAGCTCACATCAGCGGCTTCAAACACAAGAATCAGTAAGTAACGTTCTTGTCTAAGTGTGTTTCCAGCCTCGCTGTTCAAATGGACGGCTTAAATATAACTTAAAATGTTATTTTGAACGAGTCTTTTCAGCTGACTCTAGAGCAGAACAGGGTTTGTGCAAGCTTGCTCTGTCCTGAAGCTGATTTCGCTTCAGCGGCTCCCTCTGCAGACAGCACTGGGATGCTGCTGAAGTAGAAGTGCCCTGCGGTTGCTTTTGGTTCTTGATAGTTCGGCTCAGTGTGGACCTTTGCAGTGAGCACGTCCAGCCTGACGCCCATTAAACACCGTTTCTCTAACAACTAAGATTTTAATTTAATTAAAGACTGGCTCAGTGGAGATCTGCTCATCATTCTAATCTCTCTTGGGGTTACTTGTCTTAAAATTCAGCATGTAGTCAGCATGCTCCAGAAACCTAGACTATATTCCTGAACTCACCTCTCAGCTGGTGGGTTAAATAATGGCATCCCCTGCATATATTATTAGTCTGAAAAAATTAGGCTGCCAGATGATTAATACCAAAAATACTTGTCCTGGACACTGTCAAAGTTCAGATCTCTAATTTCAAAGCCTTTGCTAAAAGAGGCTCAGTAATGAGCCTGGCTTGCTTAGAGAGCGTCTTAGAAACGAGAGGTATTAGGAAACCCTCCCTGAAGTGAGGACAGACTCCTAGCCAAATTTTCCAGAGAGGACAGGAGGAAAACTGGGATCTCCTGTTCCCCGTCTGTGGAATAACAGCCCTATGGTCCCTCGGTTCTCTGGACTACTCAGTTGGAAGACAGGTGCTCTATCCATCATCCCAGGAAAGTTTCAGCTCTTGAATGGCACAGCCAGCTCAGTGAATAGCCAGTATCCCATTCCAGACAGATAATGTTGAGGATGTTCCCAACACACACTCATAAACGGTCCCTTTAAGGACGTGGATGTGGTCCGAGTTTTCGCAGCCACACAACTCCCTTTCGGAAAGCTGCGTCTGGATTCAGCCATGCCGTCCTGTTCCAGGCCAGCTTCTGCAGTCTGAGGAGAGCCAGGATACTTGCTTTGTAATGGAAGCTCTTTAACAGCCCTTGAGCTGTGCTATAGATAATTCTGCCATGCATAAGGTGTCTGTTTACACACAGGCTCGGAGGGCAAGGATGCACTTGGAAGCTTTTCTGGCAAGTTGTTGACTTGGCTACAGTAGGCTGTTGCTCCGCTGACAGCCATGCCTGCTGAGCAGCGATTGCAGCTGGCAGATTTCAGAGTGCTTCTGACATTGTCTCCTTTTATTCCTTCTCTTCCTCTTGCTCCCTTCGATGTCCAGGATGCCAGGAGCAGTGCCGGTTGTCGGACCGTTCCCACCACAGCAGTATGTCCGGGAAGAGTCAACTGCCCCAGGAGGCTACAGTTATTTCAGCCAAGACTTCTAGAGCAAGTTGCAGCACTGTTCTTGGAGTTGTTGGTGGCCCAAGAACGCACATCCTTTGCCAGCCCACAATGGTTTCATTATCCCTCTGGATAAGCAAAGCCCTACCCTCCTGTATGCACCCGTTGAGCGGAACGGGGACTGAATCTGTCAGAAAAAGGATCCAGCTGGAAGAGACTTGCTAGACAGCAAATACTTCACTCCCTTAGAGTAGTTTTCATTGTGTAATTGCTTCCTGTGAAGGTGGGTGCGGTGTGAGAGGAAGTGTGTATCTGGTATAAGGAGGGTTTGGCAACAGGCTGGTAGTGGCCACCTCCTCCCTCACCAGAGCAGATGATGGATTCCCACACCTGGAGAGCCAGCATCCCACGCTCGGAGGTGGCTTCTGCTGGAGGAGAGCTCCTAGACTGTAGCGAGCAGTGCCTGTGGGACACGGTGGAGGTGGCCTAGCTTTGTGTGGGCCCAAAATAGGAAATAACCAGCGTGGCATCTCTTTCCATGCCTCCTCCGGTCGGGTTTGTGTGCGGAATTTCATGAGCAGCTGATTGCCATCGCAGTCCCGCAGCCGTTGGCTCTGCAGCTGGGTTGTTTGGGTCTGTCTTAACAAGTCGTTACAACTTGTGGTGTGCAAAGTGCTGCTGGTGGGAGTGGAGGGTTGCGAGGGGGGTTAGAGCTCCTGGCTCTCCGGACAGCTCAGCCCTCTGCTCTGAGGATTTCCACGTGGAAGGAAGTAACTGTTTAGCCTGGTTTCCTATGGAAACAGGTGTACGTGATCATTCACCGTGTGTGTCTTTACCCCTGTGACTTAAACCAATCTCAGCCAAACTTGGCAGTGGTGGAGATCTCCAAGATCTGAGTGCAATCAGCAGAGGAGGGTAGAGCAGGATGAGTTCAGCTCTGATTCTGTCAGGGTCTGCATGGAAGTGCAGCATTTTCCTTACTGCCACCAAAATACTCTGGGGAAGGAGGGTTTTAAGGGAAAAGAGAGGGAGTAAATCTAGATGCAGCAGAAAACTGTAGTATAACTTGGTCAAATTGTTAGATGACTAAAAAGCTAGAAATCCCTTGGAAACTTGGCTTCCTTAGTCCTTCATTAGACACTACTTGCCCAACCTCTCTCTTCAAAGTTCTTAGGCATTTGTACCATCCTGGAAAAGGGATGTTGTATATTTCAAACCCAGAAGTTAAGACTGATGGTCTCTTCATGGTGCTAATGTACTAGATCTGTTAGAAAAGGCCCCAGAAGGAGGGGCACGCATCTGAGACTGCTGTGTGTTTTGGACAAGTTCTTTAGATGTTTTGCCTTAAGCTAAGGCATTGCCTCTTCTCTGCTAGCCCTCCGCAGGAGCCGTGTGCTTTGGGCTGGCCTCATGCTCAGTGCCAGTGCTCCGAACCCGGCACCCCGCAGCTTTGTCCCAGCGTCAGTGCCTCCGTGGAGCTGAGACTTTGCTAGCCCGTGGCAAACATCCTGCTGGTTTTCTTCCATGGGGCAGAAGGACACAGATGTGGCCCCTCTGAGGACTTCCCTGGCCGGTGGGGCTCCGTGGAGCTGGCAGGAGCACGGGTGAGGGCCGCGGGCACACCGCGCTGCCGGGGTGGTCTGAGCCAAGCTGCTGCCTCCCGTTGCGTGGCCCCGGCAGCTGCTGGAGGGTGGTCTGGGGCCCATGACTCCCAGCCTTGTGTGCCAGGGGAGCAGCTGACGCCTTTGCAGGGCTGAGAGCTGGGCTTTAGAGGCACTTCCAAAATCCGGGGTGTGTGCTAGTCAGGTTACGCAAGGAGCAGGAGAGCTAGTTGCTAATCTCGGTGCTTGGAGTGAGCGTCTTCCCTTCCCCGCTCCAGGCTGTGCGTGAGCTTTGTTTTTCTTGACCCTGCACAGAATCTGCCATCTTCTCTTAGGACAGGCTCCTGCTGGTCTGGGTTCGCCTTCCTAATGTTTTCCAGTCTTGCTCCACTGCTGAGATCTGACCTTAGTCTCCTGCTACAGAGGGAGTCCTTTTAAACCTCGTGAGCCGATCAATGAGCAGAAAATTGCGATGAACTGAAGGAAGCATTGTGCGCCTGGTAGCCCTGGATGGCCTCCAACTCCGGTCTCTGCTGCTTAGCTCTTGTCCCGCTGCACCAGGGCAGGTGCCCGCTAGATGTGCTACGCATCGACACCAAGAGGGATCCATTTCCAGCACTGCCCAGTCCGGTGTGTCACTCCTGTCTGTGTACTGACAGTTTTGCCTTCCCCCGTACACAGTGTTTATGTATCTGCTGTTTCCCTAAGGTGAAGCTCTCTAAATAGAGTGTTTGTTACTACTTTTGGGTGCTGTCTGTCTGCTAGAGCCCTTCCTGGGGTTTTGCCATGCTTCAAAGCACAGGACAGGATGCAGACACCTTTGAAATATTTGGGAGGGGCGGGAGACTTGTGTTCCCATCTGCCCTCCTCGAGGCCCTGCTCTCATCCCGCAGCACCCCGAGGTCCAGATGAAGCCAGTGAGTGCCTTCCTCTGCGCTGCTCTGGCAAGCCAGCGTGGCCTTGGGCACTCCGCAGTCACCAAAGGGAAGATGGGACAGTCTGGGCTGGGACACAGCTGGCACTTCTGCAAGCTGTTGTCTGGCTTGTGCCGAAAACATCGGTGACTGCCGCAGGAGGCTGGACCGTCCCCTGGCACTGCCGTAGCAGCA